AGGTCACTTCACTCTGGACTTGAGGTGGTGGTGGTTGTTAGGTGCTATCGAGTCAAGTATGACCCATAGTGACCCTGTGAACAACAGATCTAAACCTTGTCCTATTCTGAGCCATCCTCACAATCTTTCACACACCATAACCCCTTGCTGCAGGCACTGTGTTAATCCATCTTGTGTGGGCCTTCCTTGCCTCTTTCACTGTCCCTCCACCTTCCCAAGCATGATGTCCTTTCCAAGGACTAGCTCTGTCTAGCAACATACACAAAGTATCTGAGATGAAGCCTTGTCATCCTTGCCTCCAAGGAGCTTTCTGCATGCCCTTTCTCCAGGACACATCTATTTGTTCTTTTGGCAGTCCATAGGATAGTCAGCACTCCTTTCCAGCTTCACAGTTCAAAGGCATCATTTCTTCAGTCATCCTTATTGTCCAGCTTTCACATACATAGCAAGTGCTTGAAAAGACCATGACTTGAATCAGTGCATGTTAGTCTTCAGACTGACATTATTGCTCCTCAGTAATTCGGAGAGGTCACTGACAGCAGACTTGCCTAGTGGAATACATCTCCGAACTGTTGGTACCAAGCGTGTTGATTGTGGATCCAAGTCAGATTACATCATTGACAACTTCAGCCTTTTCTCCATCTATCATGATGTTGCCTGTTGGTCTAGTGGTGAGGACCTTGGTCTTCTTGATGTTGAAATGCAGTCCATATTGAAGGCTATCATCTTTGATCTTCTGCAGCAACCGTTTCAAGTCTTCCTCACTTTTCAGCATGCAAGATCGTGTCATCTGCATAACAGGTTTTTGATGAGTCTTCCTTTAATCCTCATGCCACATTCTTTTTCATAAAGTCCAGCTTCACAATTTATTTGCTCAGCATACAGATTGAGTAGGTATGGAGAAAGGATCAAAATCTGAGGCATACCTTTCCTGACTTTAAACGTTATGGGATTCCCATTCTTCTCAATGTTAGTCATAATTTGTTATGATCCACACAGCCAGTAAAAAAAAAAAAGCTTTTGTCAGTAAAACACAAATAGATATTCTTCTGGTATTCTCTACTTTCACCAGGATTCATATGACATCAGCAATGATATCCCAGGTACCGTGGCCTTTTCTACACCAAGCTTGAACTTGTAGCAGTTCTGTCAATGTACTGTTGTAGCTGTTTTGGGATGACCTCCAACAATATTTTGCTTGCACGTGATATTAATTATTTGTTTCTTATTTTCAACATTCTTTTCTTGGAAAAGGGAACAAATGTGGATCTCTTCTAGTCAGTTGGCCAAGTAGCTGTCTTATGAATTTTCTAGCAAAAAATTAGTGGGCATGTCCAGGGCTGTGTCTGTTAGTTGAACTATATCATATGATATTCCTCGAGCCTTATTTTTTGCCAATGTCTTGTGGTAAGATTTTAGAAAGTCCCAGGTTGTGAATTGGGAAGCTTGACTTATGTAATTGCAAATAATTATAGCAATATAATGACTACTGTTTATTTTGGGAACCTGTAAATTACCAGGCACTACATTATATGCAATATAGACAATAGATAAAGTATTTTTTGTTGTTATTGTTGTCCTTTTTAAAGATTTTTTTTATTAATTTTAGTGAAAGTTTACAAACAATAGAGAAAGTATCTTTACAAGAACCCTTCAAGGTGGTAAATCACAAATGAGAAAAATGAAGTCCACAGAGGTTCTGTACCTTCCCCAAGCCATATTAACAAATGTTGTTGTTGTTATGTGCCGTCGAGTCGCCTGTGACTCATAGCGACCCTATGTACAACAGCCCTAAACTCCGCTCTGTCCTGTGCCAATCGCACTGTCTCTGACACTCCCATCCCAATTAGCCCAGTCACTGAATCAATCCACCTCATAGAGGGCCTTCCTCTCCTGCGCCGTCCCTCCACCCTCCCAAGCATGATGTCCCTCTCCAAGGACCGGTCTCTCCTCACTACATGTCCAAAGTAAGTTAGACGGAGCCTCAGAATCCTTGCCTCCAAGGAGCCACCCGGTTTAACCCTCTCCAGGACAAATCTATTTGTTTTCCTAGCAGTCCATGGAATTCTCAGTACTCTTCTCCAGCACCACAGCTCAAAGGCATCAGTTCTCCTTCTATCTTCCTTGGTCATTGTCCAACTCTCTGATGCATAACAGGTGATTGCGAAGACTGTGGCCTGTATGAGGCGCACCTTAGTCTCCAGAGAGACACCACTGCTCTTCAGCACTTTGGAGAGGTCCCTAACAGCAGACTTTCCCATGGCAATGCGCCTTTTAATTTCCTGGCACTGGTGCCAAGACTGTTGACTATGGAGCCAAGCAAACTAAAGCTGTGTACAATCTCATTCTCTTCACCATCCATCCTGATGCTGCCGATTGGTCCAGTGGTGAGAATCTTTGTCTTCTTGACATTGAGCCTCAATCCATATTGTAGGCTGCAGTCCTTGACACTCTGCAGCAGGCGCTTCAGGTCCTCCTCAGTTTCAGCAAGCAGGGTTGTGTCATCCGCATAACGCAGATTGTTGATAAATCGTCCACCAATCCTGACCCCACATTTCTCCTCATAGAGCCCAGTGTCCTGGGTGATGTGTTCTGCATACAGATTGAATATGGAGATAGGATGCATCCCTGGCGTACGCCCTTCCCAATTTTGAACCATGCAGTGTTCCTTTGCTCTGTTCTGACGAACAGAGCAAAATAAAACAAAAAAAATATTAACAAATAGTTAAGATTAAATCCACATCTGTCTGTTCCAAGTTTGTGCTCCTTTCCTTTGTATCTAATGTGGTGATCTTGAACAGCTCACTTGCTCTCACTGAGCTTAGGTTTTCCCCTCTGTAACATGAGAGCTGTAGACTAAATCAATGGTTATCAACTCTAGTTACACGTTAGAATTATCGGAGGAGCTTTTAAACAATAAAACTAATGCCCAGGCTGCACCTTGACTAATTAAATTAGACTCTCTAGGGAGTGTTGAATATGGCATGGACTGCCAGGAGAACAAACAGGTTCATCCTAGGGAGGGATGAAGCCAGCCTGCTCCTTGGAGGCAAGGATTCTGAAGCTTCGTCTGACATACTTTGGACATGTTGCAAGGGGGGGACCAGTCCTTGGAGAGGGACATCATGCTGGGGAGAGTGGAGGGACTGCACAGGAGAGGAGGACCCTCGAAGAGATGGATTGATTCAGTGACTGGGGTAATGGGAATAGGTGTGTTAGAGCCAGTAAGATTGGCACAGGATAGAGCCAGTTTCAGGACTGTTGTACAGAGGGTTGCTATGAGTCACAAGCAACTCAGTGGCATATAACAACAAGGTGTGTCCTAAACATTGTTGATTCTGATTTGCCATCAGAGCTGAGAATTGCTGTCATGACTAGAATCTTTCCCAGATCTTAAAAGTTCAGGAGCTTAAGTTTTGGGTGAATTCTAGACTTCATCTTTCTCTTTTTGGCTAAAAACTACAACCTCTTCCATGACCATGACTTAAGATATTTCAGATTCTTACTCCCTAGATTATCTTCTCTTTTTTCACCACACCTTTCATAAGGCACAAAAATGCAATAAAGTGAACTCTTGAGATTGCAAACATTTCTTTTATTAGAAATTGCAAACATTTTAAAAACTAGTAGAAAATGTGTAAGTTCCTGTTTCCCACTACCCTTTTCTTGACTAATGATAGAAGGGGGGGGGAACCTTGAGATTATTCTGAACCACACTGATAAAAGGGGCCCACCCACTGCCATGGAATCAATCCTGACTCTTGCCCACCCTATAGGACATAAAGAGCTACCCCTGAGGGTCCCCAAAGCTGTGACTCTTTTGGAAGGAAACGGCCTCATCATTCTCCCATAAAGCAGCTGATGGGTTCAAACGACAAATCTTTTGGTTAGCATCCAAAAGTTTAATCCACAATGCCACCCATGCTCCTTGAGATGACAGATAGCAGTAAAATTGAGGAAGCTAGAGATTCTGATTCTTCAGGAAACTCCCAAATCAACTGCTTGCCAGCTAGGAGAAGTGTCAGGTGTGGGCTTTGGCTTAATCTCCAAATGAGACTCATTTCTTTTGCATGTAAGCTAGTAATCGCTGGTTGTTAAGAGCTGAATGAAAAGAACGGATTACACAAAATAAATCCTTGCAGATACAAAACCAACACTCGAAAAACCCATGACCATCATGCATTGCTTTGTTGGGCTATGAACTGGGAAAATGCTTTGATACATATAAATAGCAACAAGGAGCTGCCAGATATGACAGGCTTTATGTATCAAATGAGTGAGTAGAAAGCAGAGAGAGAATCATCTCATTAAGTACGCTTTTAATGACTCTCTATGGCCAAATTTATCTCACTTTAGTTAATGATTTCCCAAATGAGTGTATTTGTCCTGCTTTCTTTCATACTTCCTTCTAAATGCTGGACCTCACCTATTCAGCAGGGCGTTTGAAGAAGGGTTCACTGACATCAAAAACAGGAAAGCTTTGGACTCTGGCTGACTATGGTCGTAACCACAACATTCTGGAAGCTGTAAATATTTACCTCATCATGGGCGCACAGAGTTGACTTATAAACACAATCCAAAGCAGACCGACCCCTCTCTCAGAGACCCTAGTTCTGAGAACTCCTGAAAGAGTTTCACCTGTGAGTGGCTTTTGCCCTCCCCCTGCCACTTTCATCTGATTAAAAAGAACTGAAACTTGAACACAGTGGGCTATCACAACAGAAGTAAAGAATAGAAGGAAAGAACTCTGGATAGGACAGACAGATAGGCTTGGGTCTCTATCCTCTAGATAGCTTCATCAACAAACCAGTCAGCTTGGAGTTGTTTAGGTTCATGCAACCAGCTTGCCCAGGAGCGGGAATAAGCAGCTTGGAGGCCGCGCATCCTGGCGTTCTTCAGCAAAAGCTGATGGGCGCGGCAAGGAAATGGTAGCTTTCTAAGAGGTCTATCCCCAGGAGGGCAAAAAATTCATTTTAAATGCTTTCTGCCCTTGTATTTAGATCTTCCACCTCCTGCAACCCGAGAAAGACCGCCAGGATGCAAAACTGTGTTTGTGGGCGGCTTGCCTGAAAATGGGACCGAGCAGATCATCATGGAAGTATTCGAACAGTGTGGCGAGATCATTGCTATTCGGAAGAGCAAAAAGAACTTTTGCCACATTCGCTTCGCTGAGGAGTATATGGTGGACAAAGCCCTTTATCTGTCTGGTAAGTGATTAGTTGTGAGGTTTGTATCCATGGGGCACAACAGAAAGAGCTCAAGAGTCTGTATATTTGCATCTGTGACCACTAGTGTATAGGCATCATGTTAACCCTTTAGTCTTCAGACAAAATGCTGCCACCCTGCTTCTTTTCCTTTAAAGCTTTACAATGTCTCCCAGTTGTCTGGGATAACGGCACACTCCTTACATGTGGCAGCCAAAGGCCCTGGTCACCTGCTCTCCTCCAGCATCCCAGTGTCATCTCCCAATCCTCACACTGTCCCAACCACACACATTCAAGTTCCCAGAATGTGAAAGATCCGGTGTGCAAAACAGTATTGTTGTCATTGTTGTTATGTGCCATCAAGTTGCCTGCTACTCATAGCGACCTAACCCCTGCTCTATCCTGTGCCAATCTTATTGTCTCTGATACACCTACCCCCATTACCCCAGTCACTGAATCGATCCTTCTCATTGAGGGGCTTCCTCTCTTGCGCTGTCCCTCCACCTTCCCAAGCATGACATCCCTCTCCAAGGACTGGTCCCTCCTTGCAACATGTCAAAGTAGTTCAGACGAAGCTTCAGAATCCTTGCCTCCAAAGAACAGCCTCATTTCACCCTCTCCAGGATGAACCTGTTTGTTCTCTTAGCAGTCCATGGTATATTCAATACTCTCCTCCAGCACCACAGCTCAAGGGCATCAATTCTCATTTTATCATCCTCAGTCATTGTCCAGCTTTCCGATGTATAGCAAGTAATTGCAAAAGAAAAAAGAAAAAAAAGGTTCCCAGAATGTGCCATGGAGTTTTCATGCCTTTTCCTCTCACTGGAATTATTACTATCACCTGCATCTGTCCCAGCCCAATCTCTTTACAGTTTGATGCTGCAGCTCAAATACAGTCTCTTCTGGGAAATTTTCTCCGACTTCTCTCCCCACTCTGCTCCAAGCTGGTCTGGCTACTTCCACTCGTCTCTGTTTCCTCCTAACATGTCATTTGTTACACCATACTGGGAATGTCTCCTTTTTTCCTTTTATTTTATGCTGGTTTGCATACGAAGTTCATTTACATTGTGTTTCACACTATTCTTCATTCACATTGTGTTTCATACATTCATTCATGAATAGTAAATCGTTATGTTTTATAAAATTAATCACCTTTAGACTGTGCCCATAATCACCCTGTCTTTTCAGGTCCCCTAGGACTGTCCCTTTATATGTTTTTTTTTCTTCCCTATTAGAGTATGACCTCCCCAAAGGCAAGGGCTGTGTCACACTAGTACATAACCTGAAACAAAGTAGATTCTTAAAAAAAAATTTCTAGAAGTCAGTGGATTATCAGATGTTTCTTGACTACTGAGCAGAATGGAGGACTTATTAGCATACAGCAAACATTAAGACAGGCTTCCTGACATCAAGGAGATTGCATTCTGGAGATACAGTTTCTGGTGACCTATGGCTTTAAGGAGTTGTGCTTTTTAAACCAAAAAACACAGATTTCTAAAGGTGGGCCACTTCCTCCTATGTTTACAAATTCTGAAAACCCACCGGAGGGTCATCAGTGAGTCGGTTCCTGACTCAACAGCACCTAACAGCAACAAGTGTGTGTGTGTGTGTGTGTGTGTGTGTGTGGTGCTGCTGATGCTGTTAGGTACCATCGAGTTGATTACAATTCATAGCAACCCTATGAACAACAGATTTGAACCTCGCCTCACCCTCCACCACCCTTGCCATCTCTGATACTCTAGCCCATTGTTACAGTCTCTGTAACAGTCCATCTTGTTCAGAATCTTCCTCTTTCTCTGACACTCCTCCTTTCCCAGCATGATGTCTATTTTCCCCTAAGGCTGATGCCCTCCTAACAACACGCCCACAGCATGTGGGCCGAAACCTCATCATCTTTGCTTGTAAGGATCACCCTGGTTGTACCTTCTCCAGAACAGATTTGTTCTTTTGGCACTCTGGGAGATGCTCAGTACTCTCATCCAACACAGCTCAAAGACATCAATTCTTTTTCTGTTGCCTTTATTCATTGTTCAATTTTCAGATGCACAGCGAGTAACTGCAAAGCCCAAGGCTTGGATCAGGTACACCTTGGACTTTCAACTGGCATTGTTGCTCTTTAGCACTTTAGAGAGCTGCCTGGCAGCAGATTTTTCTGGAGCCACAAATCTCTGGATTTCTTGGTTGTTTAGGTTTCAAGGGTGTTAACTATAGATACAAGTAAGAAGAAATAATTGACAATTAGAGTCTTTTCTCCACTATCATAATGTAGCCTATTCCTCCAGTTGTAAGAATTTATGTTCCCTTGATGTTGAGATATATACACATATATGGACCTGTGGCACTTGCTGCAGACAGTCAAGAACTGTTTTCTTCAATATGGATTGAAGCTCAACATCAAGAAGACAAAGATTCTCACTGCTGGGCCAACAGGCAGCATCATGCTAGAAGGTGAAGAGATTGTTAATAGCTACAGCTTGCTTGGCTCCATATCAGCAGCCAGGAAATCAAAAGACGAATTGCATTGGGAAGGTTCCTGTCAGGGTAATGAAGAGCAATGATGTCAGTCTGAAGACTAGGGTGCTCCTGATACAGGCCATGGTCTCTGCAATTACTTGCTATGCATCAGAGAGCTGGACAAATGACTGGAGGTGATAGAAGGAGAATTGATGCCTTTGAGCTATGGTGCTGGTGACAAGTGTCAAATATACCGTGGACTGCTAGGAGAACAAACAAGCTTAACCGGGAATGGATGAAACCAAGATGCTCCTTGGAGACCAGGATTTTGAAGCCCCATCTGACTTGCTTTGGGTATGTTGCAAAGAGGAAGCAGTCCTTGGAGAGGGATGTCATGCTTGGGAAGGTGGAGGGACAGCGCAAGACAGGAAGACCCTCGATGAGATAGATTGATTCAGTAACTGGGGTAATAGGGGTGGGTGTGTCGGAGACGATAAGGTTGGCTCAGGACAGGGTAGAGTTCAGAGCTGTTGTACATAGCGTTGCTGTGAGTCGCAAGCGAATCGACAACACATAAAATAAATAGTTAATATCCAGTTCTAGTGCAAGCAATGAAGACGAGAAAATGAGCTAGTGTGTAGAGTAAGGCAGGGTGGGATGGAGGGACTTTACTCCTCAAATAATAAAGAATTGAAGACATTTTTGAACAAGGAAGCTGATTGTTTCTGAAAGATTTATCTGACAGCTCTGTATAAAATGAGTTAGGAGGGAAAGAGAAACGAGGAGAAAAGCTGAGCAAGAAACCTGTTGTGATAAGCTGGAGAAGAGTTGGGAAAGAGAAGCCAGCAAAGAGGGGTAGGAGAAGAAGAGGCAGATGTGGAGGCCTCATTAAGGCTAAGTACTACAGAGTCTAACCGCTGAAGACTGAAGACAGCACTTAGCAGTGACAACAGAGCATTCCACAATAGACTTATTTTAATAAGAAAGGTCTTGAAAAGCCCCGCACAGTGATACTTAAAAGACAGCAGGCTGCTCAGGAGGAGTCCATCTAAACATCACTGAAATTGGCGCCCTGTTAACAGCCACCTCCTGGAAATGCTCTCAGGGCTGTCAGAGGCAAGGGGATCACAACCAGTGATGTGAAAAATAACTACATTTTGCCCTTTCAAGTTGAACTTGCTGCCTGCAAGTTCACAAATGCCAGACATACCCTGCATTGAAGGGCTGTTATTCTGTAATGTAAAAGAAAAAGGGTCAAACAAATGGGGCGGGGAGAATGAAAATTCCTTTGGAAAAAGTTCTAGAAAAATGTAGACAATCATCGTTGGGTATTTCCTGTTGGGGTTGGAGCTCCTCTGGTAGCTGGTAGCCCACTCAGTAGCTTTCGCGCTGTCGACCCAGGGCTCTCACCATCCTCTCATCTGGCCCGCCCCACAGCCCTGTGAGGGTGGGTGGGCGAGCTCCTCATTATGAGCCCCCTGTGGCTGATAGCTCTGATGAGCACATAAAATGGGCGCCAAAAGTGTGCCATAAACGGCCCGGGAGATAATCTGCTTGTGAAATGTATTCTTCCCCCTTCTGAAAAGAACTTGTGGCAGTTTTACAGGACATTATTCTTTCTAACAGCTTTATTGTGCTATAATTGACATACGTTGAACTTTACACATTTCAAAAGCACAGCTTGATATGATTTGGCATACGTTGTGTCTCTGTGAATCCGCTGCTAGAGTCAAAATAATGAACAGAGTCATCACCCCCAAAAGCTGCCTCATGAGCCTCGGTAGTCTCTTCTTCCTGTCCCACCTCCAGGCAACCACTGATCTGCTGTCAGGTTAGTTTGCGTTTTCTAGAGCTTCATAGAAATGATATCATACATTATGTATGTACTCCCTCCAGACAGATCCAGGTGTCCAGTTGGTATCATTTTCCTAACACCTGAATGTCCTTTGACTTTTTGGAGGGGGGAGGGGAGGGAAGGTCTACTCTTGATGACTTCTTGCAGAATTTATATTTAAAAAAAAAAAACTAAAACAACTCAACATTTAGTTCACATTTGTTATTCAAAGATGTTTTTCTGGGTATAAAACTCTAACTTGAGTTTGGAGGTTCGGTTTGGTTTTTCTCCTCACACTTGTGGCTTTTGCTCTTCTTTTTTTACATTGTTTCTTAAAAAAAATGATGGGGTCTTTATTTTATGATTCTAATTACATTACCTAAAATGTAGTTTAATTTTTCCTGCTTCCTCGCTGTGGTTCTGATTTTCATTCCTCTTTGTATCCGGCACTTTCCTGCCTTCTACGTTTTATCACAGGTCAAAATACTACCCTTTTGACATGGTATGATTGATAGTTCTAAGGATTTCCTTACTGGTGTTATTGTTTACCTTATAAGTTTGTCTATTGTTTGAGTAAAAGTTGAGCCACAGGGGTGAGATTTGTTCCAGGTTTGAAAAGGTAGGAAGCAGCATAGTCTCGGGAATTCCAGCGGTCTCTATCGGACCATTAATTCTTGGCTGTTTTTGTTTGTTTGTTTTTAACTTTTGTCCCACATTTTCCAACTTTTTTGCATCAGGGATGATGAGATGGCACAGGATAGGGCAATGTTCAGATTTGTTATTCAGAGAGTCACTATGAGACATAGTTGCCTTGATGGCACCAGACAAGAAGATCCTTATTAAAGGTATCCTCTTCACCACTAATTTTGAACAATTTTGCTGTGATGTGCCTTGGTATGGTTTTTGTTCTTATATTTAGTATTCATTGAACTACTTGGATCTATGTTCATAGACCTCAGTTTGGAAAGGTTTTCTTACCCTTATTTCTTCAGATATATTTTTCTGTCGCCTCCCTCTCTCTTCTCTTTCAGGGCTTTAATCACACGTATCTTGAGCATTTTGAAATTGTCCCATAGCTCATGGAGGCTCTTCAAATTTTGAAATGACTTTTGCTCTCTGTATTTCATTTTGAATAGTTTTTACTTCTTCAACTTCACTAATCTTTCCTTCTGCAGTGTCTACTTTTTCATCACTCATATTCACTTATATTTTTTAAACACCAGTGTTATAGTTTAAATCTCTACAGGTTATAATTTTTTCACTTTTTATGTCTTTTGTGTTTCATTTTTCAAACTTCTTGAACATAATGCAATCTAATTATAATAATTATCTGGCATTTTTGTTTATTAATCTATTACCTGTAAAACTTCTGAATTTTGGATTGCTTGGTTTTTTTCCATCCTCATTATAGTTCTTGTTTTCCTCTTCCTTGCATACCTGCTAGTGTTTTTTTTTTTTTTTAGATATCAGACATAGTGAATCTTACATTTTTGGGTATTTTTTAATTCCTATAAATGTCCTTGTATTTCAAGATGGATCTAGAAATGGCCTTTTTAACTATGAAATTTTTTTCCCCATTTTTTTTCTCACCTTTACATCTCCTTTTCAGCTGGAAAGTCAGCTGTGAGTCAGCCCAGTTCAGTAGCAATGAGTGTGTATGTGAGTCATGAGACTATAACCCTTCTTAGTACTGTACCCAAGCAAATATATGTTTCACATATTTTGCCCAGATTTTCAGTTGTTTTAGGCATAAGGGGTAATCTGATTCTATACTCAATATTGACCAGAAGCAGAAGTCTTTCTTGAATATTATTTTTTAGAGGCAGATTAAAGTCATGGCAAGCATGATGGATTTTACTTTTTAGTCTAATGTCCTGGATTCTGGTCTCTATCATCTGCTCATTGTTTCACTTTGTCAAAATGACTTAAGCTCTCTCATTGGTCTTCCTCTGCAAAATTGCACTGAAAATGAAAGATGATAAATACATGTGGAGCTCTGGTGACCTCGTGGCAAGACGCTGTGCTACAGTCCTAAAGGCACGCAGTTCAAACCCACCAGCTGCCCCACAGGAGAAGGATGAACAATCTCCTCCTGAGCGATAACTGCCCCTGGAAACCCTCCAGAGGGTCAGTGATAGGTCAGTTCGGACTCGACAGTACACAACAACAACAACAATAGAGACGTGTGGAAATATTTAACTTACCTCTCAAAATTGAAAAAGTTCTTAGTAAATGATTTTCCTCTATTTCTTATCAAGGGAGTTAGGTAGTATGTTGTTCATGCCATTGCATGAACTATGACTCTTAGGAACTCTGTGAGCAGACTTCCCCTATCTTGTGCCATCCTCATAATCTCCCACACCCTTGACCTTATTAGTACAGTCACTGTGTCAGTTCATCTTTTTTGAGAGTCTTAGTTAATAGCGGGGAAAAAGTAGAAGTAGGGGCTTAACTCCTGGTCATCTGAATCCCAGTCCTGTACCGCTTTATCACAATCATGCAGCCTCTTGCCTTCACCCCAGGGACCCAAACTCTATGTCACTGGGTGACATACCATTTCTCATCATATCTAACTTCTTTTCCCTATTGTAGTATGATTCAGCACTTCCAGGTGCACCTTTTGGTGTTGCTCTTGTGTGCCGCTGAATCGGAACTGACTCACAGCCGACCCTCCAGTGGGTTTTCAAAGGCAGTAAATCACATGGAAGATTACTCATCCTTCTCTCGCACAGTAGTTGGTGGATTACAAACCACATACCTGTGGGTTGGCAATGCAAATCCTTACAACTAATCCCCCAGAGCTCCCTCCAGGTGCATCTAAGAAGCAATTTTAGGGATTGAAATACTGAGTCAGTATGTTTCAGTTTTATGAGAAAGCTGGGTGGTGGTATAGCTGAGAATATTGGTGAAGTTACCCAAAGATACCATAGTTTGAGGCTACATTTTCTTCCTAGCCTCTGTGCCAAATGAGGCTCCTTATTCAGAAGTAGGTGGCAGATGGAAGAATAGAGCTCCTAAGAACAAGACTGACCCAAGCTATAGAACCCTAAGTAAACTAGTATCAGGGATGAGTCTATAAGCTCAGTTATTTGGTGGCTCACCTCGCTAGTAGTGGGAAGAGAATCTGGGAGTACTTGGTCACTTATCCAATCACATGTGAAACTTTGCTGCTATTACACTGCCCTCTTTTCTCTCCCTCCTGCTGTACACCTAGGTTACCGCATTCGCCTGGGCTCCAGCACCGACAAAAAGGACACCGGCCGACTCCACGTTGACTTTGCTCAGGCTCGAGATGACCTGTATGAGTGGGAGTGCAAGCAGCGCATGCTAGCAAGAGAGGAGCGCCACCGCAGGAGGATGGAAGAAGAAAGATTGCGCCCACCATCCCCACCTCCAGTGGTCCACTATTCAGATCACGAATGCAGCATTGTTGCTGAAAAACTTAAAGGTACAAAAGGCTTCATGACTACAAGAGCCTTTTCTTTAAAAAAGAAAAAGATATTTAATAATTTTTTTTTATGCTGTTGGCTCTTTGAATTTTGCATTAAAGGATCTCAAGCATTTCTGCATTGGAGCCTTATTCTACCTGGGAACTCAAGAACCGGGAGATTTATCCCTTCCACTTGTATCTCCTCCTTCCCTGTCCCTCCAGGTGGCATTTTTCTATCCAGGGTTAACTAGAAAGAAGCAAGTCTTCCCCACTTATCCACATCAGAGATTTTTAGTTATAACCTGTGACTTGGGACCTGTGCTCCCTCTTTCATAATGAATACAGATTAGTTTTGAATTTTAAACCAGGTAAATGAATCAGAATGCCAGAACTCTGTATGGCCTTAAACCACTCTGCTTAAATCCTCATTTTACAGAAGAGAAAACCAAGGGCCAGAAAGGTATAGCCACAGTGCACATTCTGCTTTGATTCCTCAGAGGCTTAGCCAGCACTACCTCTGACACTACCAAGGAAGTGTTTAACAAGTTCACGTGACCAACTTATTTCACACGGTTGCTATGGAGACTCCTACACATTGCAGATTTGGACAACTTTCTCTTTAGTATTAACTCCATTTGCCCTTGCTTGACTCAGAGACATTTTGCTTATTTAACATCCATTGCCCTGCCTGGCCTCCTGTGGCAGTAGCTCAAATCTAGCCTTTCTAATTCTCGGAACTTGGCTGGCTTTATTAAATGGATGTCAATGCCCCATTGATCTTATTGATGACACCCTCTCAGCTTTAATGATATGAATCACCCCTACCCCTTGTACTGTTGGCTCAGTAAGATACTACAAACTCCACCTTTTAAGTAGATCTCATTCCCTGATTTGTTTGCCCTGTATAGCAGAAGGGACTCACATGTTTCAGAACTCTCTTGCCTAGGTTGATATTTCCCCCCAAAACAGAGAAAGAGCAAACATAAACTCCAGAACTAAGATATGATAAATAATGATTACACTTTGAAAAACAGGAAAAGCAGAAAGGATTGATTGATAAGATGTTGTTAGTTGTTGGTAGGTGCCTTTGAGTTGAGTACAACCCATAGTGACCCTATGAATAACAGATCTGAACCCTGTCCTATCCTGTGCCATTGCGGCAGTCTCGGTGTCAATCTACCTGGCTGAAGGTCGTCTTCTCCTTTGTAGACCTTTTTAGTAGACCTTTCCAAGCATGATGTCCCTCTCCAAGGAACAGCCTCTCCTAGCAATACGCCCAGAGTATGTGAGCCAAACTTTTTGCCTCCAAGTAACATTCAGGCTGCACATTCTCCAAGACATATTTGTTTGATCTTTTGGCAGTCCATGGGATGTTCACAATGCTTCTCCAAAGGCACAGTTGAAAGGTATCAATTCTTTTTCTTCAGTTCAACAGAAGAAGAACTGATTGGTAAAATACCAAGTCCAAAGTTGTTTCCATGATATCAAACAAGTCAATCTGAATTAAAAAAAATACACCAATGAAACTTAATTTGCTGGTTATGTGGGCTTCAAGAGAAGCAAAAAAAGGGAACATCTACATCAAGACTCATATGTGAGCTTTGTTTTTTTTTTTTTTTTTTTCTATAATTATATTTTATTAATCTTCATAAACATTTACAGAGATTTTGGGCTTCCACCCATTCATTGTTGCACTATTCTCTCTACCCTCCTCCCAGTATGCACATCCAAAAACTTCTCCAGTAGGGTAAAAAGGGAAGCCACTGACTGGGAAAAAGTATTCGGTAATAACATATCAGATAAGGGACTTATATCCAGAATTTATGAAATACTTGAGCACCACAACAAGATAAAGGTAAATAATCCAATAGAAAATGGGCACAGGATATGAACAGGCACTTCACCGAAGACGACATTCAGATGGCTAACAAACACATGAAGAAATGCTCAAAATCCCTAGCCCTAAGAGACATATGTGAGCTTTGAATAAAGGGCACATGGCAAAAAGTTCAGTTTGTAGTAAGAGAGTGTCTACTTGCCCACCCACAGAGACACACATACTATACAACTGTTGGTTAAATCAAGTTGAATGGATTTATCATTTTTAGGGTTCATTTGTGGGAAAGGAAAAGAAAATATTAATGCACCTTTTCATGTGATATTTTATAAATGTTGTAAGAATTCTTTTCCCCCAGTCTGGTAGAAAATTGAACTAAAAATTCTAAATTTGAAAAAAATTGCAATGAGGGTTCTCTTCCTGGCCAAAGAAGTTTCTGGCCAGAGAGGGATGTGAAGCCTTAGAGCAGGGCTTCAATGCAATGCTAATGGACTCTCCTCCCAGGCGTTTTGAGCCATAGAATCTATAAGTAGCTGTCTCCGACACTTTGGAAAGGCTGTGCTAACTTTTTGAACTTCAGAGAATAACTTGTAACTCACTGTAGAAATCTACTTGGAGGCCTCCTCAGGCAAGTGAAAAAGAATGTGAAGAAATGTAGAAATAAAATGAATTGCATCAAAATAGATTCTGACTGTGAGTGAGTAGAAGGCCCGGGGCTGTGGTTTGGACAAAGAAATGATGTTATAAAAGGTCAGAGATGTAGGTGTTTATACCTTAAGAATTAATCACTTAACTCATTTTTAAGGCTACTCCTACCAGTGTAATTCTGTGGATCCGGGGTAAAGTTATGGCCAGAGCAATTCAAGTTAAACTTGGAGCTCAAGTTTATTTTTCCCAGCTAAGACACATAATTGTAGAATTACAAAATTCCCTCACTGTTCATTCATACACAGAGAGAGAAAGACCAGAGAAGTGATGAAATTTGCAGAATTGGAAAGCTATACTGATTAACTTTTCCCTTAAAGAACTAAAGAAGCAATTTTGTTCCAAAAAAAATTCTTCATACACCACACCAATTTGGCTGCTTTTTTCAGTCTTCTGTCAGCTGCCTGGGGTGGGATGGGGTGTGTGTGTGTTTACGCGCATGTGTGGGCACCCAAAAGTCACAGTGGCCTCTCTCCCAGCATATTGAAGTAACAGATAAAGACGTGGTTTGAGGTTTTTTTTAAATGACGATTTTAGTGAAGGTTTACAAAATAAAGGGTTTTCATTTGTTCATTGACATTTTTCTCCCGCCCCCAGTTCACTTTGGTACCACATTCCTTGTTCCAGATTGTCAGTTGCCATCCACACAATGTCTACTCATCCGTTTCCTTCATACAGTCCCCTCCCTTGTCCCATTCCAGTGTAGATGTTGTTACTGTTGATAGTTCTAGATAGAATTCTTTTTTTTTTTCTCCCCAGATGATTCCAAATTCTCCGAAGCCGTGCAGACCTTGCTCACCTGGATCGAGCGAGGAGAGGTGAACCGCCGCAGTGCTAATAACTTCTACTCCATGATCCAGTCTGCCAACAGCCATGTCCGCCGTCTGGTGAATGAGAAAGCTACCCATGAAAAAGACATGGAAGAAGCAAAGGAGAAGTTCAAACAAGCCCTTTCTGGAATTCTTGTTCAGTGTGAGTTAAAGTCCAAGTTCTGTTGGAGAGTGAGAGGGGCCTCAGTCACCACTCAGGAGATGGGGACCAGGCCTACGGAGCCGTCCTGTGTAATGGGCAAGATTACACAGTGTCTCCTGATACCGCCATACACCCAAGTTCATTTCCATAGGCTGGGTGTTGTTAATGGGTGCTTTCAGGTCAGCTCTGAGTCATCGTGGCCGCGTGAACAACAGACCTGAACTCTGCCCTAGCCTGTGCCATCCTCATCCATCTCCAAAATGCTTGAGCCCATTGCTGCAGTCACTGTGTCAATTCATATGGTTGGGGGTCTTCCTCTGCTTTTCCTAACCACCACCTTTCCAAGCATTATGTTCCTCTCCAAGGAATAGCCCGAGTAGTTGTTAGGTGCCGTCTAGTCGAGTATGACTCTGAGTGACCCTGTGAACAGTCAACCTGAACCCTGCCCTATCCCGTCCTCATCATCTCTGACACACTCGGGCCCATTGCTGCAGTCACTGTGTCGATCATCTCATTGGGAATCTTCCTCTCCTTCACTGAGCCTCTTCTTTACCAAGCGTGGTGTCTCTCTCTGGATCTGCCGCCCAATGTGTGTCGTTACACATTATTTTCCATCTCCTCCAATGCCTCTGTTTAGCTCCTTAGAAACACTAACACTGAGACCACAGCACTTTTTTATGTTCTCAGGTAAGTCACTGGCAACCCCGGGCCTCAGTGGAGAATTTGGGATTTCATCCCTGAAATCTTTTTCAGTTTTCCTTCAGATTTGGATCATTCTTATCATGTAACATACTTTGTAAGTACTCCATTTTCATGATACATTTAATTATGTTTCTCAAAGTGATTGACGAGGAACAAAATTTGCTACTCCTCCTTTTTGTATTTTATTTCCTTTTTTTCCTTCCGTGAATATGACAGGCACTATGACAAGGAGTGAGAAGCCACTGAAATGGCCATTTTTAAAGAGACATCCTGCTGCAAACGTTTATTATTGTTAAGTGCCATTGAGTCACATAGCAACCCAATGAACAAGAGATCTGAACTCTCCTATCCCCGACACATCAGTCTATCTTGTTGCGGGTCTTCATCTCCTAACATGTCCAAAATATGTGAGATGAAGCTTCATTAATTTTACCTCTAAGAACATTCTGGTTGTACTTTCTCCAACACATATCTGCTTGTTCTTCGACAATCCTTGGGATATTTAGTACTCTTCTACAACACCACAACTCAAATGCATCAGTGATTCTCCTGTCATCCTTATTCTTTGCCCACCTCTAAGATGTGTAGCAGCTGATGGTCTAAATCAGGTGGACCTTAGTCTTTGTGCCTGATTCATTGCCTTTCAAGGATATCATTGCCCTTGTAGGATCACGTAAATGAAAGAGAACAGAGGAATTATGGATATAGATATAGATATATAGATATAGATAGAGAGAGATAGACAGATATAGCTAGATATAGTTAGAGATAGAGAGAGAACACTCTGGTGTCCTAGTGGATAAAGACCTGCATTACCAACTCAAAGGCACGTTGTTCAAATCCAACCATCCACCAGCTCGTCTGAGAGAGAAAGACAGGTGTTTGTGCCTTAAGAATGAAAATTTGTTCTTCTGTATTTGCATGACGGTGATAAGCAGAATAATGACTCTCCAAGACTGCCTAATTCCTAGAACCAACGGATATGTAACTTTACTTGGCAATAGGGATTCAATACATATGAATAAGATTGTAGAGATGGTGACAGTGCCTTGTATTTTTCAAGTGGGTCCAACCTAATTACATGGATTCGAAAAATGGGAGAACCTTTTTACTGCTTAGTGGAATCTGAGAAAGATATCACTACAAATAATGTTTATAGCCATATCTGTAAGAGATGTAGCTAGATAAGAATGCTGGCTTTGAAGATAAAGAATATTGTCATGAACCAAGAAGTGTGGATTACATCAATGAATGTGGATGATGTCTAGGAAGTGCAAAAGGTGAAGTATATTCTTCCCTACTTCCTAGGAAGAAATATAGTCCTGCCATCACTATGCTTTTGGATCGATGGGACATGCGTCATACATGTCCTATGGATCTAAAAGTTGATAACTCTAAAACAATAAAGTTGTATGTATTATACAAAAAAATATAATCACTTAATTCATTTTAAGGCTATTTCCACCAAGATAATTCTGTGGATCCCAGGTAAAAGCAATTCAAGTTAAACTGGGGGATTATGTTTATTTTTCCCTGCTAAGACACAGAATTGTAGAATCCAAAGTTCCCTCACAGTTCATTTACACACACATCAAAGATGTGAAAAAAATTGCCTTATATGTATAGTTATGGTACTTTACACTTTAAGGTATAAATTCCTCATGTAAAATTTATAGCCTCTGAAAACCCAGTGGAGAGTTAGCTATGAGTCAGATCTGTTGAGATATATATGTATACACTTTATTCTCACCACTGGACTGATTGGCAGCATCACAATAGATGATGAAGAGATTGAGTTGAGATTGTTAAGAGTTTTAGTTTGCTTGGCTCCATAAACAACACTCTTGGTACCAGCAGCCAGGGAATGAAAAGATTAATTGCATTGGGAAAGTCTGCTGTCAGAGACCTCTCCAAAGTACTGAAGAACAACAATGTCCATTTGGAGACTAAGGTGCACCTGACTCAGGCCATGGTCTTTGTAATTATTTGCTATGTGTCAGAAGCTGGCAAATGACTAGGGATAATAGAAGGAGAATTGATGCCTTTGAGCTCTGTTGCTGGAGAAGAGTATTGAATATACCATGGAACTGCTAGGAGAACAAACAAGTTCATCCTGGAGAGGGAGAGACCAGGCTGCTCCTTGGAGGCAAGGATTCTGAGGCTCCATCTGACATACTTTGGACATGTTGCAAGGCAGGATCAGTCCTTGGAGAGGGACATCGCAAGAGACGAAGACCCTTGATAAGATGGATTGATTCAGTGACTAGGCTGATGATAGATATGTCAAAGACAATAAGATTGGCACAGGATAGAGCAGGGTTTAGGGCTGTTGTACATAGGGTCACTATGAGTCTCAGGCAACTCAATGGCACATGATAGATAGATAGATAGATAGATAGATAGATAGATAGATAGATAGATAGATAGGTCGAGCGTGTGCTCTGGTGGCCTAGTGGTAAGAAGCTGAGCTGCAATCCCAAAGGCACATGGTTTGAGGCCACCAAAATTATATATATAATTTTGTCACCTTTAGTAAAACAGCCTCAGAAATCCAGTGGAGGGTAGCTACTACTCAAACTGAACTTGACAATTGTAGCCATATTGTAAAACTATACATTCATGGCTTTTCAGTAAGGAATTCACCTTAAGAATAAGGATCCCGTTTTATGATACTTCTTTTAAACAATTACGGTCTTTTCCTATGTAGCAATCTTGACTGACAAGCAACAGGAGTTAAGAAGTAGTTTGATTGTCCATTTTCATTTGGAGCGTGTAAGTGGGCATAGAATCCAGGCCAAGTCATCAAGACTTCAGAATAAGTCGAAAGAGCAGCAAGCACAGAAGGATGTAAATCCTAAACTCGTGAGAAGACAGACTACAACATGTAGTAAGGAAAGAAAGTGCACTCCTATATTTTCTCTCTGTGAGCCAGTGGCCAGGCAAGGCTCCTGTCCTGCATTGTATTTCCCAAAAGAATGATGTTAAGACTGCTGTTTTTGAACTATTTAGGATCATGCCCTGAGAATCTTTGTGCAGTTCGCATTTGACACATTAAGTGCCCCTGTGAAATACTGTGTAATATTTACACAGTATTCCTCCACAAAATATATATTCCTTCTGTCAACAAGTCCATCTAAGTAGACTTGAAATAGCTGTGGTCCAGCTTAGGTTTTGATTCGATGCTACTGAATAAACCTGTCTCTACACACTACTGGAGTAAGCTCTGATGAAGTGAAGCATCCAGGCTCTTTTTGCAGGACCAGTTGATGAAAGGGACCAGGGAGGGAAAGGCTTAGTGCCATGTGCTGCTTGTTGCAATGCTGTGTGGGGTCAACAAAATCACATTCACTACCATGACTCTTGTGTGAACTGTCTGAAAGAACCCAGACCGCCTGCATTGTAACACTAGTCACCATCTTGCCCCAGACTTTCTGGAGTTCATGTTTTTCTTTCTGTGTATTGATGTCTGTGCCTTTGCGTTCCCTTTAGAATCACGATACCCTCACACAACCAAGCCCGGCCACAGTCAAGCATAATGTCAGAACAAGAAGATACAGCTAGTCTGATACATCTCTTCTCTTTCTTTTCTCTCCTCTTTTGCCATCCCTGGACGATACCCTGACCTGATTCAACTACTAATTTGATGTCACAGTTGAGCAGATCGTGGCTGTGTACCATTCTGCCTCCAAACAAAAGGCCTGGGACCACTTCACAAAAGCCCAGCGTAAAAACATAAGCGTTTGGTGCAAACAAGCTGAGGTTGGTAACTTTCTACTCTGGGAGCCCCTCCGGGGGACAGTTTCTTTAACACTTTATTGATTTGGAGGTTAGCCAGCATTAAATAGTGCCAAGCTCTTCTGGTCAAGAAGGCCCTAATGGAAAGCTTTAAGACGTGTTCTCTAGTCTGTCACTGTGCCCAGATCACCTGCTGCCAAAAGAGTAATAAATGCTTGTGTTGTTACCTTGAAGAAATTTGCTGTATGCAAGCCTTAGTGGTAAAATGGGAGCTGGGATAATTGTAAGTTTGTTTCTCCAAACTGGCTGGTCTTGGGTACAACAATAATTAGTGACCCGTGTTTCTAGTCTTTGTAATATTAGGGCTGTCTTGCATTTATTAGAGTGTCTTGACAGTTGAGGCTGGAAGCTGCCTTTTGCTACAATTTCTGAGCTCCTTTTCTTCAACCCGTTCAGCCGTCTTTACGGGTGGCAGCTTTAAAGGTAACGCAGGACTCTGATTTCCGATTAAGGTTGACACACACCTCTGTGCTTGTGCCAAAGTGACAGCTTTAACGTAATACCAGAACATGTGCGACGTGATTATAGGTTGCTATTCTGAATCCAAGATCAAAAGCGAAGGTGGGAGGTTTTGCTTTCACTGATCTACCTTTGGCAGCGGTGGTATGTACAGCCAAGCTCTGCTATTCCTGAAGGCAGCCTCCTTCCCCAGCCCCAGCTGGCAATTCACACAAGTTTTTCTAACCTCGATTCTGAATCCACTTTGCCAAGCCTGGTCGGGGGTCCTAGTCTGTCTGTCAGGACAGATGGCCACATTCCTAAACATTTGAGTAGCATGTTTAAGGCATTTACATTTTGTGAAGCACTTTCACTTTGGTTATCTCCCCTCTGAGAGCTTGACAGGAAAGGTGGTGTCATGGATAGAGCATTGCACATGGAGTCGCACGTCACGTGAATTCCAGCCTTAGTTCGGACAGGCTATAGCCGGATAACTTGGAGCAGGCCACTGCACCTTCTCAGTTCTCGGTTTTTTTCATTTGTAAATGGTAAATAATAAGACAAACAACCTTCCAGGATTAAATGAGAGATGGATGAACATTTGAAAAAATGTAAATACTGCATGAATGGTAAATACAATTAATTTGTTGCTCACAACTTCATAACAGAGTTGATACAAAACATATATGAAGTGATTTATACAAAAGTTCACAGCTACCAAGTGGTCTATTTGAGGCTCAAAATATTTCTTCTTAGTTTGAGCTCTGATCCAAACTGCCTTGTAGCTTTAAGCAAGTCATTTAACTCTGGGGGGCCTCAGTTTCCTCACGGATAAAATGAAGATAATGATCTATTCTCTTCAACCTTCATTACGTTACATGGGGTAAGTTGTGTAGCAGCATTTGAAAACCAAGAAGAAAAGAAGCCAGACCTTGTTCATAAACTCTGAGCCCTAAGAGATCGGGGGCTCACTGGAGAGAACCTGAAACCGTCAGCCCAGTGGATGGTTAGAGTCATAAAAACTTAATGGAATTTTTAACTATTAAAAGCATAATCAGGAACAAGAAGGAAGCAGTTGCTATATTGTAATACCAAATGAATTTAGGATCCATTCCTGGACTGTAAGGGCTACCTCAAGCTGTTGAGCCTCTACAAACAGAATTCAACCTTTCCATCCCAAAGTGTACTGAGTACTGTCTCTGTTATGTTAGACAGAGGAGAATGGGTCACTAATACGGCTCACTAAGTTCATGAGTGGGAAGAGTATCATTTGTTGTTGTTAGGAGCCCTCAAGTTGACTGTGACTCACCATCTCTGACCCTCTGCCTTTCCCACCATGAAGTCTTTTGTCAGGGACTGACCCCTCCTGACAGCGTGTCCAGAGTATGTGAGATGAAGCTTCACCCTCCTGCTTCTAAGGAGCACTTTGGTCGTACTTCCTCCAAGACAGGCTTGTTTGTTCTTTTGGCAAGTCCATGGGATAGTCATTCGTTCTCTCCAGCTCCATAACTCGAAGACATGAACTGTTCTTTCGTATTCCTTATTCATTGTCTATTTCTCAGATGCATAAGAAGCAATTGAAAATACCATGGCTTGCATCAGGAAAACCTTGGTCTTTAAACTGACATCCTTGTTCTTTAGCACTTTGGAGAGGTCCTTCACAGGAAAGTAGTTCATTAGCAGAGTAGCATGCAGTACATTTGTTTATAGATGTTGTTGTTGTGTACAGCTAAGTCAAAACTGACCCATAGATGACCCTCCCATGGGTTTTCAGAGGTAAGAGGGGAGTTGCCCATCCTTCTCCCATGAAGCCACTGTTGATCTTGAATCATGTACCTTCAGGTTTGCAGCGTAGCTTCTTGCCACTAGGCCACAAGAGCTCCCTCCCTTAAGAGTGGAAGCAGGAGTGGCATTCACTTCCTAAATAACTTGCCTCCTGAAACTCTTGGGGAAGTCTATTGTCAGGGACCTCTCCAGAATGCTGAGAAGAAATTGTCAGTCTAGAGCCTGGTCCAGGCCATGGTCTTCACAATTACTTGCTATGCATCAAAAAGCTGGACACTGACTAGGTATGATAGAAAGATAGTTGATGATTTAAGCTGTGGTGCTGGAGAAGAGTATTGAATATACCATGGTCTGCCAAGAAAACAAATAGGTCTGACTTGAAGAAGGTGAAACCAAGTTTCTCATTGGAGGCTAGAATTTTGAAGCTCCATCTTACTTTGGGCATGTGGCCAGGAGGGACCAGTCCTTAGAAGGATATCATGCTCAGAAGGTTGGAGCACAGGAGAAGACCCCAGACGAGATTGATTGATTGATTGATTGATTGATACAGTAACAGGGGTAATGGGGGGGTTGGTGTGTTGGAGAGTCAGTGAGACTGTTTCAGGATAGGGCAGGCTTCAGAGCTATTGTGTATAGGGTTGTTATAAACTGCAGGCCAATCGACAGCACATAACAACATCTAAAATAGGATACTGTAGCATCTCAAAAAAAGGTAAAACAATCCAGTCACAAGATAAGCACAGGATATGAATAAACACTTCACACACACACACACAAATTCAGATGACAAACACACACATAAAGAAATGTTCCAAATCCGTAGCTATCAGAGAGATGCAAATATGAAATTTCACCTCATTCAGTGCCGGTTGGGAGTGTAACCACTATGGAAGGTGGCCTGTCTCTTTTTTAAAAAGTTGGAAATAGAAATACCATTTGACCCAGCAATTTCACTACTGGGAACATACTCTAAGTGTTTTTAAATAGTTAATGATCATGAGCATTTTGTCATGTGTGTGTTAGCCATCTGAATGTCTTCAGTAAAATGTCTTTTTATGTCCTCTGCCCATTTTATAATTGGGTTGTTTGAGGTTTTGTTGTTGAGGTGTTAAAGTTTTCTACCAGTTTTAGAGATTAGTCCTTTGTCAGATATATCATTGCCAAGTACTCTTTTGCAGTCTGTTGATTCTCTTTGTAATCTTTTGGAGAGGTCTTTTGATGGATGCAAGGATTTAATTTTTAGAAAGTCCCAATTATATGGTTTATCATCTGATAATTGTGCATTTTTTTTATTCTATTGTATGCTCTATTCATGCCATGGATTAGGTCTTTGATAGTTGTCCCTATTTTCTCCTTTGATGATCTTTATAATTTTAGGTCTCATGCCTCAGTCCTTGTTCCATCTTGAGTTACTTTTTAGGAAAATGCATCTTTAAATGGCACTGACAATACGCTGTTTAAATGAAAATACCACAAGTCTACTGGGGAGGATAGAAATTTCAATGGGTAAGCGAATGGTACAGAAACTTTAGGAGGGGTCTTTGCCTTTTGTGGTGTAGTCTATCAGTAACCTGAGCCAGTCAGTTTTACGGGGACATTTTAAAATGCAAATTGCTTGAAAGTATTTTTGCCCACTGTCACCACTCTTAATGGATTCAGCACTGAATCCAACTTCTCACCATGGGAAATGGGGCAGATCTTGGAGGCAGCTGTTTTCCTTGTTGCTTGTACTCCAGTCGCTCAGAATCCTCCTCCTCCCTGCACTTACATGCAGTCGAGGAGCTCTGGTAGCCTAGTGGCAAGAAGCTGTGTTGCAATCCCAAATGCACATGGTTTGAGACCACCAGCTGCTCCTCAAGAAAAGGATGGATAGTCTCCTCCCATGCAATTTATTGCCTCTGAAAATCTGCTAGAGGGTCAGCTATGGGTGGGTTCCAACTCTACAGTACATAACAACAACAACAACAAAGTTATCTAAAGGGAGAAAACAAGACATTGGGACATAAGGCTGGGAGCATGTCTCTGAAGGGGCCAGAGGAAGTAAACACAGCACAGCTCCTCACAGCTCCAGAGCAGAAACCAGGCAAGGAGCCCAGCCACGTGGTACCTCTAGGGCCCCACCAGCAGCAAGAGGTTTATTTATTTGTTGCTGACTCTTAGTTATGGTACCAGCAATGGGTTTATTAGGGAAGGAAGTTGGAGAACAAAGGAGACAAAGAATACCACCCAATGCAAATCCGAGTTTTATCCCTACATTCCCAAGGCACAATTCCTCAATCGGTCCAGGCTCTGGTTTCAGTCCAGCAGTCAAATCCAAATTGTCTAGCAAGGTTTGCCCCAGAGCAGTTACAAGTCAGCTTCTTCTTCAAACATCCAGCAAGAACAACCAAACCTTTAACTGTGGCCCCTACAAATGCAAGTAGCCTCATATCACAGTTTCTCCATAGTAGTGCCACAGTCTCTTCACCATCAGGGTCTCGCTCTCACCAGGTCTTGACACCACAAGCTTTGCTTGCCTCAAGTCTTGTTTCAAGTCCTTCTCAAGTCTTTCTTCTCATAGTGGGAAGTACTCTTTCGCTTATCCTAGTCCCACAGGTGATACTGATTTGCAAGACCATGTGTCTGCAGTTAAGGTAGCTGGAGACCAGAGGCAGCTAACTGCAATGTCTTTTAAAAAAAAGTGCAAACTTCTAAGCTAATACCACATAGATATAGTGTCCATCTTAGGTTAATGCTCCCTT